GACCCCATTTTACAGATGCAGAAAATGATATTCAAAACCTAGAATTGTAAAATGCTAAATAGGCAGAGCTGGAAGAAGAAAGCAGAGCTGCAATAAGGTCTTTTAATTCTGCATACTGGGATTTCTTTCTACTTACCCATCTCCTTTGCTTCACCTTGCTTTTCTAAGCAGCCTTCTGTTTCTCTCAGCATCTTGCTTCTTTCCTATCTGTTCTTCCTATTGTCAATTTAAAAATTTGACTGCTTGGTGCAGAAAAGAATCAGGTGAGCACAAAGGAGAGAGGGAATACAAAGGACTCTATGGTGGAGGACTCTGGGTGCTTTGGTGGTGGGATCACTATGGTACAGCACAGGAAGGGGGGATCCTGTTTTTCCAAAATACAAAAAAAAAGTAAACCAATGTTACCTCAATAAAAAAATATAAAAATGAAATAAAGTTTGATCATTTGGTACCAAGTTTCCATATGTTCTCTGTTTATCTGTGTTCTTTTATTAACATGGCAGGACCAATGTTTTTGATTTCAGGTTAATGATACCGCCATTCACCTAGTTACTAAGACCAAAAGCCTGGAAATCACCCATTATTCCTCACATTCTCCTTTACCCCATATCCAAATCACAAATAAATCCTGTCGTCTATACCTTCAAAAATATGTCAATTTCTGTTACTTGTGATCACTTCCAACATATTGTCCAGTAGAACTTTCTGTGATGATGGAGATGTTTTATGTTTATGCTGCCCCAGCTAGTAGGCACTGCTACATGAGGTCATTGAGCATTTAAAACATGCCTAGGTGGAACTAAGGAGCTGAATATTTTTAATACAATTTTCCTGATATACAATTTACATGCCATATATTTACCCACAATTCTGTGGTTTTTAATACATTTACATAATTGTTACCTTAATCAATTTTCTTCACTTCCAAAACATTTTCTTCACTTCCAAAAGAACCCCCCATACTTATCAGAAATCACTCCCTTCTCTTCCCCATCTCTGCTTCAAACAACCCTAACATCTGGCAACTACTAATCTATTTTCAAGCTTTATAGATTTGCCTAACCTGGACATTTCATACAAATGGAACCACACAATATATATCTTCTATGACTGGCTTCTTTCACTTAACACAGTTTTTCCAAGGTTCATCCATGTTGTAGCATGGATCACACTTCATTCCTCATCACTGTTGAGTGATATTCTATAGTATGAATATGCCACATTCTATCCATTCACTACTTAATGGACATTGGCTATTATGAAGAACACTACTGTGAACATACATGTACAAACTTTTGCATTTTTCATTCATGTGTTTTCATGAATTATGTGTCTAGGAATGGAATTGCCAAGTTGTAGTGTAACTATGCATAATATTTAAAGCAACTGCTTGACAGTTTCCAAAGTGGCTGTTCTAGCTTATTTTCCCACTAGCAATCTATGAGGTTTTAATTTCTTGTTATTATCTATTTTTATTATAGCTACCTTAATGTATGTTAAGTGGTATCGCATGATTTTGATCTTGTATTTCCTTGATAGCTAATGATATTGAGCATCTCTTCATGTATATTGGCAGTTATATTTTCCTTTGAAAAAATCTCTATTCAGATCTTTTGCTCATTGGGTTGTCTTTTTATTGCTGAGTTGTAAAATTTCTCTATGTTCTGGGTACAAGTTCCTTATCACATATATATTTGCAAATGATATTTCTATTCTACAGGTTGTTTCTAATTTTAATGAAGTCTAATTTATTTTTTGTTTGCTGTTATAGCTGAGAAACCATTGCAAATCAAAGAGTAAATTAAGATTCACTCTTAACATTATACCCTATGATTTTATAGGTTTTTTTCTATAATCCATTTTTGTTAATTTTTTGAATTAAAATATTTATAAAGATTGCCATTTCAGCCATTTTAAGTATACAATTCAGAAGTATTAATTACATTGAGAATGTTGTGCAACCATCACCATTATCTATTCCAATTTTTTTTTTATAATTCCAAACTGAAATTCTATACACATAAGAATAACTCTTCATTCTCTTATTTGTCCCCATGCCCTAGCAGTAACTGAATTTTTAATTAATTTTGCACATAGCTCTACATGCCACCAGAATCACCCTTCTGGATGAATTGTTAGTCATTTTCAAACTTCTATTCTTGGTCATCTAAGACATATTCTCCCAGAAAATCTGGTCTATTACTTTAAGAGTGTAACTCATAACAGGTCATTTTCTGCTCAGACTATTCCAGTGGCTTCTTTTTTTTTTTAATTTTTAATTTTTTTTTTTTTTAAATAGAGGCATGTTTTATTTATTTGTTTGTTTTGTTTATACATGCACTGAGTACAGTCAGAAGTGCGAGAGGGTGAGAGAATTCACCAGCGCCAGAGCGGGGAGCAGAGCAGGCAGAAAGACCGAAGTACACTGCTGAGGGGAGCAGCGGGCGGCAGGAGAGGTCTGAGCGCCATGTGGGACCCTCCTCCGGTGGCCGGGGAGCAGCCGGGGATTGAACCAGCGCTGCAGAGGCTGCGGGCAGCTTTGCAACCCAGGGCTCAACCACTGCGCCACTGCAGAGGCCCTCCAGTGGCTTCTTATAGTGAACAAAGAAATTCAAACTTCTTACCATGGCTTACATTAATTTGCTTCTTCTGTCTAAGAGCTTACTTTATTTTTCCTTCTCCCAGTGTCTCCACCAAACTGATCACTCTATCTTTGAGATCGTCACTGCTTTCTATATTTAGGCTGTTGGCAATTTCTCTTCTCTCTGCCTAGAACACTCTTTCCCCTAGATACTCATTTACTTACTCCCTCATACTATTCAGATCTCTCAACTGTTACTTCCTCAAAAAAGATTTTTCCTGAACTCCCCATCTAAAATAGAGAGTGGAATAGTCACTCTATTTGTTCTTCATTGTACTTATTGCACCAGACTTTTTATTGTATATCTATTTGTATATTTATGTTCTATCTTTATCACTATAATGTGAGCTTCATGAAAACGGGGGCCTTGTCTCCCCAGTTTCCATAATGGTACCTGGTATAAAATAGACTTTAAATCAATCTTTGCTGTGTTAATGAAAAAATAATTTTACCCCGTCAGTATAATCTATTATGGTCTTATCTCATCTCAAGTGTTTCTTTTTGAGGCATGCCTTTTAAAGTCTTCATTTATTATTAAAATAATCTAAGGACAATTTACTTCAAAATGAACCCCACAGTTTTGAATAGCTAGTTGTTAATAAATTGTTAAAAATTTGTTGCTTCTTGATATTAATTTAAACCCCACCCCCTAACTTTTTGAAATTTTCCACTTCCTTCCCTTTTAATAAAGACCTGCCTAATCATCAAATCTTTTTTTATCACCTCTCCCCTAAGTTTTGAGTTCCTTCCTTTTTAAATCAGTTGTCATACCTCTGTTCTCATAGGATAATGCTTAAGTTTCCCATAGCAATCTCTCAGTTTAAGTCTGTACCTAATGCAGCCTGAGAGGTCATTGTGTGGGTTAATCTTTTGTTAGCCACAAATTTATCAATATAGAATCAGGAGAAAGGGCATATCCAGGAGCTGGGTTCAGGGACTTACAGCTACTAGATTCTATCTGTGATACAACTTGATTTTTATGGTGTTTTGGAAAACTAAACACATCTCAATTCTTTACTAAGAGTCAGATTTTTCAACAAGCAGATGGTAAATAAAATGATGAATCCCAACATGTGTGTATATCAGCTATTGGATTAGTTTAAATACAAAATTCCTGTATACTCAGCCTGTTGGCCACAGATCTGAAATTATGTAGAAAAGGAAAATTGGAAAAAGGAGATTGGCAGTGTCATCCAAAAAACCCATTCCTTATTTTAAGACAGGCTTTGACACCTCAAGATAAAAACCAGACTTTCTACAGCAGGATAGCGGGTATGATTTAGACCATTCTATTAAAGTTCTATCTTAGTGACTCGTATGTATATCGTATTAGTCATTCCTTAAAAAGCTGAAAAAGATGAAAATTAAAACTTCAAAATTCTGGGCCTCCCCTGGTGGTGCAGCGATTGAGCACTGGGTTGCGAGGCTGCCCGCAGCCTCTGCAGCGCCAGTTCGATCCCCGGCCACAGGCGAGGGTCCCACAAAAAAACAAACAAACAAAAAAAAACTTCAAAATTCTATTTTCTAGAAAAATTCTATTTTCTCTCATTTGGATTTCTTGCTTTCCCCCAATTTATAGACTCCGGAAATTCATGTAGTTGTGTATAAAAACTGAAGGAATAAATAACCTCCAAAATTGAGTTCAATAATAATTGATTGATTTTATAATATGTTTTGGGGGTTTTTGTATTTGTGATTTTATATTCTTTAATTGGCTTATAACTCCAGTTTAGCAAAAATTAAAGATGAATAGCAAATGAGCACTTGGAAAAGATCTAATACTGGCATTAATAAAGGTAGATTGAAATGTTCTTATTCTTTTACATTTTTTTAAAAGATTTATTTATTTATACAAGAATGGGATACAGGCCAGAAGTGCGGGAGGGTGAGAGGATTCACCAGAGACAGAGCGGGAGCAGAATGGGCAGACTGACCGAAGACACTGCTGAGGGGAGCAATGGGTGAGACAGGAGAGGTCTGCTGTGCCATGTGGGTATCTCCCTGGCCAGCCGGGACTTGAACCTGCGCTGCAGAGGCCACAGACAACTTCATAGTGCTGCGCTCAACCCGCTGCGCCGCCACTGGGGAGGCCCTTTTTTTACATTTTTAACCTAATGTAGAAATTTATTAATTTTTTTAAAATGTGTATTTCAATACAGATTAAATGTTTGATCATTTGGTTAGTTGGAAAAGTGGTTTGTTTGAAGGAAATAGAAGATGAAAAAAAAATGGGAGTTAGAAAGTGACAGATAATACAATTTCAAAACATCATTACATTAAAGTTCTTTTTTTTTGGATTCTGAATAAAAAATTGCAGTGCTCAGTTTTGAAAGTAAATGGTAACGTCTTCATTTTTCAGATACTGTGTTGGCCAATGGTCATGCCACAGACTATTTATTTGTTGGAAATATTGTTTACACGGTAAGTTTACCTCTATTGAACCATTCTTAAATGATGTGTGGGTTATACCTCTCTGATCCCTCTAAATACGGTCTTTAACATTACTATTTTTTTCAAATCTTTAAACTTTGTATTGCAGATTCCTTAGAGGTCAGAATGGTTGTGAAATGCTTGCTTTTTTTTTTTTTTTTTTTTTTTTTTTGGTAAAGATTGTACAGAGTCAAGGTTTCTGTATATATGTGATTAACAGATCCCCCATGCTTGAAATGACTGTTTCCCATCTCCCTTTATAAGAAACAACATCAAGGATTCTCCCAAATCTTCTAAACTAAGAAATGGGCAAAAGTAACTAGTACTTATGAAGAAACAATCACTACAATCACTAGAATGAGGGCTTTTCTTTAAGTAAATATGAATGTATTTCCCTAAAACTAATGCCTGAAGAATGGCACTTTCAAAGTATAGCTGCCTCTGGGGAACTGCCTCTGGAGGGGGGGGTCTTGTGGAAAGTGAAAATAACTCACTAAAGGTAATGTGTTCCCCCAAATCCACTTTCTTTTCACAGTATGTTGTTGTTACTGTTTGTCTGAAGGCTGGTTTGGAGACCACAGCCTGGACTAAAGTAAGTTTCATTCCTAGACTTATTTATCTCCTATAGTTTTTTTTTTCCTTTTCTTTCTTTCTTTTTTTTTTTAAAAATTTATTTTATTTATTTATTTATTTATTTATTTATTTATTTATTTATTTATACAAGCACTGGGTACAGTCAGAAGCGCGGGAGGGTGAGAGAATTCACCAGAGCCAGAGCGGGGAGCAGAGCAGGCAGAAGGACCTAAGTACACTGCTGAGGGGAGCAGCAGGCGGCAGGAGAGGTCTGCGCGCCATGCGGGACCCTCCTCTGGTGGCCGGGGAGCAGCTGGGGATCGAACCGGCGCTGAAGAGGTTGCAGGCAGCTTCGCAACCCAGTGCTCAACCGGAGCGCCACCAGGGGAGGCCCCTTCCTTTTCTTTCTTAAAGTAAATTTCTTTCTTTCTTAAAGTAAATGTCTTTTTCTTTCTTTCTTTTCTTTTCTTTTCTTTTTTTTTTCTCTTCTTTGCTTTTCTTTCTTGGCATAATATTGTTGTAAGCCTTGGGAAACAATAAGCAATATCTAGCTATTTTATTTTAAATTTTGCATGCAAAAATTGTGGCTTGATCTTTGCAAGTACAAATTTGCCATTCAAAGTTAATTTGCTTGGTTCTTAGTACACTTAAAAGCCATTAACAGTTATCTCATTTCAAATGTTTATGGTCATTACACAGATACGTATTTTTTCTGTGTGTATATCTGTTTATATGCATGTATAGAAGGACAAAAAGGGGGAATTTTTAAGTTCCATAAAGTTACCATTAAGAGATATTCATTGTTAGCACTTTGCTATATAACCTTCCAGACTTTGACCTCTCTGTGTGTTTTTAATAACACACTCAGGAATATATAGTTTTTAATCTTATTTTTTACATAAAATATGACCATTTTCCATACCTTAAGACATAATTCTATATCATTGTTTCATGATAAAAGTTTTATTCATTGCCCATTACTTATTTATAAATCCCTCATTTTAGATATTTTGGTTATTTTCAACATTTGGGGATTGAATCATAACCACTGATTTTTGTTTGTCACTGTGGTTTGTCTCCCACTGAATTATGCACAGCTAATACTATGCTTAGAAAATTGGGGAGAATTAGGATATGAGAATGGAAGCAGGGAGTTCATTAAGAGGCAATGGCTTTTAGTCCACGTGAGAACTGATGGTGGCCTGTCCTGAGATGTTAGAGGAAGACTTAATGAAAAGTGGCCAGATTCTGGATGTTTGTTTTCTTTTTTCAAAGCTAGCAGAACTTGCTGATAGATTAGATTGAATGTGGATGAAAGGAAGAAGGTTCATCATATTAAGAAGACAAAGGATTAAAAATTAACAAGTCAGTAGATGCTTAGATGAATGATGTTCAGGTGTAAAATCCATTCCAGATTTTTGAAAGATCTTTGGAAAATTAACAGTGGAAGTCTAACATGATAAATAAAAATATTATGTTTTGTCTCTTTAATGCTCTCTTACTAGGTTAACAGAACCCTATTAAATATAGCTCCAGGGGCCTCCCTGGTGGCACAGGGGTTAAGTGTCAGGATTATGAAGCAATCCACACCTACTACAGCATGAGTTCGATACCCGGGCAGAGAGGTGACCCACATGGAGCAGCAGACCTCTCCTGTTTCTCCTGCTGCTCTCCTCAGCAGTGTATTTCAGTAGATCTGCCTGTTCTGCTCCCTGCTCTGTCTCTGGTGAATCCTGTCACCCCCATACCTCTGGCCTGTACCCCCAGCTCTTGTATGCATAAATAAATAAATCTTTTTAAAATAAATAAATAAATGAATGAATAAATAAATAAATCCATAAATATAGCTCCAAGTTGGAGCAAATACTACAGAGAACCTGAGAGGGACCTGCTAAAACTATGGGATAGGTCTAAAGGAAAATCAGCTCTGGTAGCAAAATACTTTTACTTTGATGGTAGTTTATGGCCACTGCTTATTTGGTTCATTGTTAAACAGTCAGAGACAAGACACTAGAAAGGCTGAACACTAATGATTGGTGAGTCATTTAAATCATTCCATAAAAAATGGTGGTTTGGCAATAGGGATTATTTATAGGTATGTTTACTTGTCTCTCTGAGGCCAGCAGAAAACCTCTACCTGACTGTGTGTTTCTGTCTGCAGTTCAGTCACCTTGCTGTCTGGGGAAGCATGTTGATCTGGCTGGTATTCTTTGGTGTCTACTCAACCATCTGGCCCACCATCCCCATTGCTCCAGATATGAAAGGACAGGTCAGTGCTATTTATCGTGAATGGAATTTCCATGTTTGTGATAATGGTGCTTTTCCATATATGGGTTTCCCATATCTTGTGACAATGATGAACTTCAGGAAAGATTGGTTTCAACTGCTTCCATCAAAATGTATCAGGAGGGAAATCAAGCAAATCAAAGCACTGAGAAGAGGTTGTCCAGTCCACAGAAAGGGTGTTTGAAAGTTTAACTATTATGATAATTGTGATTTAATCATTTAAATTCTTGGGCCTACCCAGCCTATCCACATTTCCATAATCAATTATGTTTTGATTATACACTATTCTGGTATATATTATTTATGACCAGAAACATTTTCATTCTTTCATCTTGTAGTCATAGTGTTAAGTGTTATACTCTGATTATTATACTCTGATTATTCACCCGGCAAAGATAAATCTAATAGCTCTATTAATTCAGATCATTCATTAACCAGAATATCTAATTGTTCATATTCTGAACCAGAGAGGTTCAGATTGAAGACCTTGCAATTCATTTGCATTTTTATATTTTTTTTTTCTCTTATATTGTCTTTGTGCAGTGTTTGAGCCACCAACACTGACACACTGGCTCTTAGAGACCTACAGTATCAGTCAGGTCTGTAACGGAGCTTGATAATACTGTGCTATGGTCCAAAATTTCTCCATTTACAAATGAAGCTGTGCAGGCCCCATCACAGATCCCATCCTACCCACAGCCAGAACTATCCTGAGGCCCCAGTTAAAAGCTGGCACAGGCCCTGTGCTTTGGAGGGCCTCTGTTCTGGCTGACTCTAACTGGGAGTGTTCCTTTTCTCAGGGTGAGAGGTCTGTGGTACACAGAGCCAGCACCCTACTCTAGTCTACTCCCTGGGCTTCCAGGATCTTAAATCTCCTTTCCAAATAGCCAAAAGCCCACTGACCAGGCCTGTCTGGTCCTTTCCCCAGATCTAGGCCAGTGTGTTACCCTTGGGCCCTACAGGCAGTTGTTTGCAAGGGGTGTGCACAGGGTTCATGGGTATACTCACTGGTTAAATGATGGCTCCACTGACATTTGCTTGAGTATGGTTATGCTATGGGAAAGAATCAGGGAGGAAAAAGAAGGACTGTGATTGGGGGCTTCCGCTGATGTTCCTGACCCAGAAATGTGTCTTTTATGGGCAGTCCTGTGAATGGCACAGCGTTTTACATGGCAGACCAGGTGTAGCCTTGCTTACCTTTCCCACTTGGTAAATAAGTCAGGTGATATACTCAGGTGTGTCAGGGATTCCCTTTAAGTGTAGGTGCAGAGCAGGACAGACCCATACTCCAGGGAAGGGCTTATGTATATCCCTTTGTGCAACTTCAGTTTCTGTAAGAATAAGAGAAAAACATACAAGAAACTTTAGAGTTCTTTTCCAGATCCAAATGAGAGAGGAAATTACAGAATATTGAATGATCTGAGAAGATTATTGTGTAGGAGGAGGAGCATTTTCTAGCAAAGATATTTGTATATTTAAGAAACCAATTACATTTCTTTATAACTTATCAATGAATGTCATCTCCCAAAAAACAAAGCAAGAAAAGTATTTCCTACAAGTAGGATCACTTGTTAAGTTGTTGGTACCTAGAATGTTTGCTTAGCATTCTCTTCTTTCTGGTTAAAAATGGGTCTGATTTGATGAGTATTTCATTCATTCAGGAAATTTTACTGTACAGTACAACAAAAGGGACTGTAGCAGGTTGTTTCCTAAGTAAGGAGAGTGACATGATGGATGAGATGTGATGCTGTATGACTAGCTGACAAAGTTTCTCCCAGACATACTCTACTGAGGTTCCTCTATAAAGGTTTGCACCAGTAACCAATTCAGAAGTTCGTGAGTTAGGCTGTCTGCTACTCACTCTCATCAAGAGGTTGATTGAGAAGAGTGGAGGGACCATTCAGTCCCAACATGTCATTCAGTCACCAACATGCCACATTTACTCTATCCAAGTCACATAAGTATGCTGGCTCATGGGATTCAAAGGTTCAGCTTTTTCATGAAATTTTCATAGCTGGGGACTTTTTTTTTTTGATGGGACCCTTGCCGGCGGCCGGGGAACGAACCAGTGCTGCAGAGGCTGCGGGCAGCCTCGCAGCCCAGTGCTCAACCGCTGCGCCACCAGGGGAGGCCCCTAGTTGGGGACTTTTTGAAGAAATTTAATGAGCTATTCCTACCACCCAAAAGCAAAGAAATTGTGATATTAAATCACATTTTACTTTTGCATAAAAGCTTTTTATTTTTTACTTAAATTATGTCATTTTAACTTTTTTGTTGGTTGGTTCCATGAGACAAATGATATTTTGAAATAGAACATTGCTGATGGAGACTGAGGATGTCATTAGACACTGATGAGATGACTAATATAATTTTCATGACACAGGATTTCTGAGTGGGTAATCTGTGGTCTGTGTTTAAAGAGCTGTCTATTATCTTTAGTCTTACGCCAGAGGAGGGCTCTTAGGGAGGCCAGGGTGTCAGAAAATGATGTCAGAACTAACTTTACTACTCTTTCACCTGTTGTCTTTTGCTGCTCATGCTTTGAAAAGTCGTAAAGAAGTATTAAAAAAAATTAACACTTTTAAACAAACTTGAGTGGAGAGTGGTTAAAACTGGCCTGAACTCTAAGAAAGCTTCTGTTGCCTCCAGAGGAAATACGTGCCTTCATAAATAACAATAGAAACTAGGCCAAGGAAGAATGAGTATCAAGAGCTTACCCTTTTGGGGGGCTATTGAAAATAGCCTAAAACAGCATACCCCTTTGGTTCTTTGTTGGTTCTTCCCAGAAGTGGGGCCTCACCTGGACCCAATCATTCAGGGACCCTGATCTCAGTCTTCCAGCCTTCAGAACTGTGAAAAGTTTATTTCTGTTGTTGCTAAGCCATCCAATCTCTGGTATCTTGTTTTAGCATCCCATGCTGACTAAGACATTGGTGAATGCTTAGGAGTGACAGGTACTCTGAGAAAAGACTGCTTCATCATCATCATCATCACCATCATTACTATTAAGAATGTTCCCGGTGATTTTTTTTAATAGACCATTTTCTGTAGTTCATTAAGTAGTGTGGTAGGAGTTTGGCAAAGGAACATGGTTCTTTTGAACTCTGGAGGGAAAGCAATGTCTAAGACAAACAGCATTTCTCACCCAGGAGCTAGAGACAGACTCAACACACAAACTGTTCTGTTCATAACATTTTAAGCTGGTGAAAAGATGCATTGTTTCTGCCAGGGTTTCCTAAACTAATTTGATTAAATATTTCTTTGTCTTGTCCGTTAGATTGGGAGTTTTTCTCATGGAGGAAAATGCAGACTTTCCCTTGAGGGCAAAGGGAAGGCAAGGCTGCAGAATGAGTGTTATTTTCCACTGTCAAAGAGTCTTTATCTTCCCTGAAGCACCTCATGGTGTGGTACAAAAACCCTAACAGACAAAGAATCAGGAAGTTCCAGTAGAAGTTTTTGAAATCAAAGAATTCATCTGTATATTCTCCTAAAAATAGGCAACATTTGTAGGATTTTATGATATGCACCTTGTTTTTCCATTTTTCTAGGTCCCCACTATATCTAAAGTGAATTTTAAAAAATCTCAGGCAGGTTGTGTCTATCCTGGTTAATGCCAAAATCCTCAGCTAGAGAAAATATGTGCCGATGTTTTTCTATGTGATTTTCTTTCTTCCAATAGTAAAACCATAGCTTAAGAGCTTCTCCTTGGTGGGGTTCCAAAGTCAGTGCTTATAGGTAGAAAATGACAAATTTTCTTTAACCCAGAGTTGCTTGCTATGTAGAGTTTTGAATTAAAAATTTGAGAAAATCTTGATCTAAAACTGGATCAGGAAATGTGTCAGCATTTTTTCTTCATGTATTTTCTAAACCATTATACTTTTGGAGTATCTGAGGGGATGCCATCTGATGTGACATCAGCTTAAAAGTCAAGAATTCTGACCCAACCAACTTCGTAATCTTGGCAAATCACTTAAACAGCATCAGTTTCCTTATTAGTGAAATCAGATTAATATCACCACTCTAATTAAGCTATAATAAAATAGGGCCTTCCTGGTGGCACAGGCAGTTGAGCGCAGTGCTGTGAAGTTCTCCACAGCCTCTGCAATGCGGGTTCAATCCCCGCCGGCTGTGGAGCTACCCACATGGTGAGGCAGACCTCTCCTGTCTCACTCACTGCTCCCCTCAGCAGTGTACTTCAGTCAGTCTACCTGTTCTGTTCCCCACTCTGTCTCTGGTGAATCCTCTCACTCTCCCACACATCTGGTCTGTACCCCAGTTCTTGTATGCATGAGTAAATAATTTTTTTTAAAAAAAGATGTAATAAGATAACTGATAGGAAATGTGAGGCATGTATGCTCATTTTCTCCCCCTGACATGATCAGTTATTTTTGAACTGTTATAAATACAAATACTGTGACTTAAACTCGAATTCGTTGGCCAGAGAATCTTAACTTTTTCAGTTCTAGATATGATGTTTCTTAGAGCTATTGCCTACCTATATCTGAATCAGATGAGTTGCTTGTTAAAAAGACAACCTCCCCTCCATAAAAATATATACTTGCAGCACACACACACGCGCGCACACACACACACACACACACACACTCTGAATCAGACTTGGTGTGGGAGCTCAGCTTCTGAATTTTAATAAATCTTCAAGCTATTCTTCCCTTTTGTTGGAATCATCTAAAATACCTAAAGTATCTGTTTTACCTATTACTGTTCTAGGAGAAGATAGTATATTTAAAATATTTATAAATACCAGATGATTCCACTCATATATGAAATATAGAGAAACAAAACAAATGAATAGTCAAAAGTAAACCAAAACAAACCCTAGAAATCTGACTATAAAATTGAGACTACCAGAGAGAGAGGGTGAGGTGGGAGACGAAGAGGAGAGGAACCCAAGCAAAGTATGATGGAGCGTTATTGAGATTTTAGTGGTGGGAGTAGAGAGGTAACATATATCTGAAGAGGTGA